TTCAAAGACAGCTCGTGAAAAGACGATAACTTGCATTTCTCGAATTTACTGTCGCGATGCCGATTTGACGACGATTTCCTTTCGCTGTGAGTATGTTATAAAAAGTGTGTGTCCGATGTGAAAAAATTTAGTTCCGTCAGTAGCCTTGAAGCACGTTACTTGTGTCTCACGCGAGACTCAAATTTGTTATTCGACACTCGTTTGAAGCGCGCGAGACCGAATTAACAATATCTGTATTTAATTCCGACGTGACATCGGTACGTTCTCTCTCGAAATATCTTTCTGCTTTGCATAATAGAATCCCGGTTCGCGCTTCTTCCCTTTTTTTCTTCATCTCTCGATCCAACGATTCGCTAACGATAATCTGTGTCGCCCTTGTCTCTCGACCAAACGCGCTGCAAGTTTTCTCGCGTAAGAACATTGTTTCTCAAGCAATTGTTTTATAGCTAATTTTGCAGCTAAAAAATTTATTTTTTTTAATGCATATAATTATACATTCTGTAGAGGCGCGCAATCTCTCGCGACACTCGATCTGTTGTCCAACTGGTAATTTCGCGTTCCGGAAGCAAGCACTTTTCAATTACTTCCTGTTGCTCGCGAAGGAAAGTCATTGAACGCTCAGGACAACTATCGTCGATTAATCCGGCGTATTATTATGTATTCATCCGCTTCGTAAATATGAAAAAATATGACACATTCGCGCTGTAATAAAATTAACAATTCTGCCGCCGAATGGTCTTAATAAAAAAAAAAAAAAAAAACGCGCGACAGAGCAAACATCATAAATTTCAGTTCAAGCACACGTCGTTCGAAATATGTCGAATAATGTTTCTTCACAGGATAGTAAAATCGAGATATATTCTCGGTTTAACATTTATAAACCTATCTATGTAGGAATTGCCGACAGACTTCCAGTTATACTACTAGGCCAACAATGGCCCAACCTTTATAGCCGATACTCGATATTGACAATTGGTCCAGTATTGTCCCATTTTTGTATTTTATAACAGCCCAATATTGGCCTGTTTGTTCACCAGTGTTCGGCATTCATATTGGGCCAGTATTGGCAAGAAGACAGGACCAATATCGGGCCAGTATTGGCAAGAAGACGGGGCCAATATCGGGCCAGTATTGGCAAGAAGACGGGGCCAATATCGGGCCAGTATTGGCAAGAA